ATTCATCTAAAATTGTTAAATCCTCTTTTTTCTCGTTATTGTCAGATCAATCGAAATGAAATAGTTTACATGATTTCCGTTTTATCTTTTCGAGTATCAATCTCTGTTAACTGCTCTTTTTTCATGTTTTTATTGCTCCTCTACCAGGTAAATTCTTCTAGTACTGCTCGTGTCTCAATTTCACAATCAACCTCATCACACTCCGTGTCCTAAAATTGTTGGCGGCGGCGCAGATCAGTGCTATGCCAGGTTGCAGCCACAATCCGCCTTGGATTAGAATACAGCTTTTGAGTTGAACATACAATTAAATGTAATGGCAAAGTTGGGCTTTATTTTCATGCCATAGTTTAGAACTCAACCATGAGTGCTCTTAGCGATTTCTCTTCATTCTAGACCCAGGGCCGTCATTCATCTTGTTACTATTTGTGAGGCGAGGATATTGGTATTGTTGTTAAATTGAAATTGTACTGGTTTGCTGTCGTATTTCGTTATTATTCACTAAAATGCTCTCACCACGTCAGGCAATCACTTTCATATTCCTCAAGCTTCAATATAGCCGCATTTTAGCAAGAATTATGTTTCATTACTCTGAGTTTAGTTCATACTTTACAATGCATATTCAGAACACATTCGATCCCCCACTTTCACTTTACTGTTTTTATTGTCGTTCTTTGATCCTGACTTGTTTTCCTTTTACTGCAGATTGCTTCCCTTGTCTCCTGCATTCTGTTGCTGCTCACCTTGTCATTCATTGGAAGTCTTTTGAGTAGTCTTCCCTACGTGAGTCGACCTTATGCACCTTATTTCCTTAACGCTCTGAACAATTTGAATAACCTCTTCATAAATTTTTATTTTTTCGTATTTTTCTGTAGTGCCTGCTTTCCACAATACTCGTGGTCGCCCTCAAATCAACATTGCTGGAAGCTAAGAAATTGCCCGGCCTTTTTCGCCTTTCTCCTTATGATGGAGTAAGTTTATTATCGTAAAATTTACCTAAAATACTGTTTTTGCCACCTTTTTTGGCATTACCCTTCATTATTCATTATCGCTCGTTGTAGCAAATGATGTGCACATGACACCATTTATTGTCTACTTTGCCTTTTCTAGTTGCTCGTCAAAACCCTACTTGGTTTGAAGCATTAAAATTCTCAGGCACCCTAATTCAGTATACTGTCGATAGTTCCAAATGCTTCTCGTTTTTTGGCAAATTTTCGGCGTACAACTCCAATTCATCTGAGAAAAGCAAATCGTCCGGCATTTTGGAATATAGTATCTTGGAAATGGCTTAAGAAATTCGGTTTCGTCTTACACTGGGCTCGTACCTCTATGTAATTTTTAATTTTTGGCTTTTGACATCGAGCTCTGTATCGGTATTAGCTCGTGGCCTATTAGGGACGGTTTTAATACCATTTAAGGTTACTTCGATGTCTCGGAGATCAGGCACTTTTGCTTTGGATAAGAGCTGCTCAAATGCGACCAAGTGCAGCTATCCTTTTGATATTCACTTCCTTGGCATTTAATACGATAATTTTTAATCATGCTATGCTCTTGATACAACGTTTTAGTGCTTTCTTTCCTCTTTGTTCTCTCCATTTTGCTTTATCCCTAAGCTAGGCAATTTGGCTGGTCGTTTTTCTGTCGACTCTTTGCATCGACGTCCCGATCGGTCTGACCTGTGGCCTCGCCTTTGCTTGGTTCACCGCACTTCTGCGTGTACAAAAGGCTCACCTCCAGCTCCTCGGCATGCTACCAACTCTAACTGATGTATATGTCGACTTGGACCGCTATCCCGAGGTCAGATTATATTCTTTGTTAAAATCACCTATTGTCCGAAGCTTTCTTTTTCACTATAGTTTGTATCCGGTTTTTTTATCATATGTATATTTTTTACATTTCTTGCTCAATCGATCACAGCTGCATTCTGCCCACATTGTGTCATCGCCATAGTATTATCTCCACTTTTAGTCGTGCTTCTTCTAATCTTGAGGCCTTAATTCTGCTTACTCAAATCTGCTTATATGCAAAATTATGGGATGGCTGAATGCAAGTCTTTCATTATTATCATCCGTTTAACTATTTCAACTGTTTATCAATAGATTTACTTTCCCTTACTGCCACGAGTTCACTTATTAGTTTAGAATAATTGACCTGTCTTTTAAAAGTGTTTTTTAACAAACCTGAAGACTCTCATATTTGCCGGAAGTTAGTTGAATTTAATGAGAATAAGCTTACTATTCATCTATTCTACTCTGCCAACTTTTTATAAGAAAAAAACAAGTAAGCGATTGCGAATTATGGTGTACCTGAATTTTGTTGCTAAGGCGAACATAACAATGTTTTGTGGCTTCTATTCCTCTTAACTACGGTT